GAAGGTAAACGATCCGTATACACCTGCCTTTATTGCCTTTGTAAGCTAATACCCGAAACAGAGCAGACGGACTGCAGCCCAAGACGATTGAGACCTTCCGTCAAATGCGCCTCGCCGACCCTCTGCTCCTCCGCGGTGTTCGTGTTTACGATATTTCCTTCTGGCGAAGCACTGCCGACGAGCCGCTGCATAGATTGGGTCGCGAGGTTCACTACCCTCCCGTCATTGACGTTCTCGACCCCTACATTTTGCTCGTTCACCAGGGTATGGTTGAAGGACTCTTCATCGATGACTTGAAGAAGCGCGGGGTCGAGGTACGGAGGAATACGGCATTCGAGTCCTACAGCGTTCCGGAGAACAAGGCGGGGCCCCTACAAGTCAATTGTCGCACAAACGTGACCCAAGACCGGCGGACAATTCTTACACAGTACTTGGTTGGATGTGAGTGAACTACATCAAAGCGCTGCGCTGTGGAAGGCATATACTAACCGGGAGAAGGTGACGGTGCCCACTCCAAAGTACGAAAAAGCATTCCTGATGCGCGGGCTATTGGTCTTTCGCAACCAGCAATCTGGGGTGTTCTCGATGGAGAACTCATTACCGATTTCCCCGATATTTGGTCCAAGACGCTAGTGTATTCCCAGGAATACGGCTCTATTCTGATTATCCCGAGAGAGAGGAATATGACCCGTTTCTACATTGAGCTCAAGGCGAACCCCAAGGCAGATAAGCGAGAGCTTGGCCAGGAGTTCGTCATGGCTCGAGCGAAGAAGATCATGGCGCCTTTCGAGGTCGACTGGAAGTACATTGAGTGGTTCGGACGTTACCAGATTGGTCAGAGAGTGGCCAGTCGGTTCACCGACCCCCATCTGAGGGCGTTCCTCGCTGGAGACGCCAGTCACACGCACTCCCCAAAGTCTGCTCAGGGCATGAACACCTCTATGCACGACTCGTGGAACATTGCGTGGAAGCTCAACTTGACCATTCGAGGACTCGCGAAGCAATGCCTGCTCGAGAGCTACGAAGAAGAGCGAAGAAAAATCGCTGTTGACCTGGTCAACTTCGACTACGAGCACGCCAATCAGATTGCTGGAGGTGACGCGGTAGCACTGTCAGAAAACTTCAAGACGAACGTTCGTTTCATTTCTGGTATTGGTGCCGAGTACTCTGAGAGCCCCTTGAACAGGCCCGACCCTCAAGGCCTTATTATGGGAGATGCCCGACCTGGCTGCTTGCTTCCTCCGGCCAAGGTCACCAGATACATCGACTCAAATCCTGTTGACATTCAGCTCGATATCCCCATGCTCGGACAGTTCCGCATCTACCTCTTGATGTGGGACATCCAGGCGTCGAGCCCTTTCCTGGAGACTTTCTGCCAATCCATCGCCTCGGCCAACTCTTTCATCAGCAAGCTCTCGGCCTCAGCTAGTGCTTCTTACGCTGCGCAGCCCAGACTGCCATCGTCTGAAGACATCTACTACCGGCCCGAGAGATACACGGCCGTCAGCCATCTGTTCACATTTGCCTTGATTAGTGAGTATCAATCGCCCGAAGTTCTACGCAATCACTAACACTAGCCCTAGCTACGATGCCCAAGGATGATGTGGAGATTTCGGACCTGCCGGCCCTGCTACAGGACAGCCGCTGGACGTTCTACCTGGACGACATTCCAGAACAGGACACGCGTGGCCAGCTCTGTACCAACAAGTGGCTTGGTAGCCTCGGCCCCGGCGAGGTTTCCATTGTTAACGTAAGACCTGACGGCTATGTTGGTTCCGTCGGCCGATGGGATTCGAGCATGGATGACGCCGGCGAGGAGGCTGCCCGCTGGCTAGACGAATACTACGGCGGTTTCCTCCAACTGCCCGGCGGCGCATCGCCTTCCGCTACCCTCACCCCAATGGCAGTTTAGACGCAGATTCTCTTAATTTTGAGTCCGACTCAGGAACATTCACTCGGGCGTATTTGTACCATACAAATCCCACTTCACACGACAAACGCGAACACATAATCCACAACCTGAAAGACATCAGGCATGCAAGCAAAGACGCAGACATGAAATCATCACTTTCTCTCTTCCAACTTATCCGGCAGGTGTTGGGGAGTGTGGCGGCGGTACGGTTGTTATCACGGCATTTTCAGGAGCTAAAGGGGACGGTCAGTAAGTACACTCTGTTGCAAAGCAGGGGTACTTGGATCTCAAATTTTATTTTTTTTCACCATAGCTGAGCTTTTTTGAGATGAGATTTACCACATGAGGCAGACACATGTCAATAGATGGGATTTTCATTGCAGATCTCCTGCTTTGGGTCACTCCCCTAGTCAAATTAAGCTCCACGAGCCCACGCGTGTGGGTGGGCTAGGAGCAATGATCATGCGAGCTGTCATCTCCCATTTCCTCATGCACCCACACCTATCAGCTCTCTGTCGTCTCTTGCCAACCCTCAGCGCCCCAAGGATCTTGCTCCTCCGAAGGAACCGGCCGGTCTGCCGCTGCCCTGCCCGTGGTCTGTATGCTCCATTGATGATTGCACTTTTATCGATTCTGTAGGCTGGAGGCCGGGCGTATGGGAAGCCTTGTAACCCCATCACATCAGTCGATAACCTCACGCCAGCCCTATCAGAATCGAATCATGCTCACGTATGGAAACCCCGCAGTATCCATTCCTTATGGATTGACCAACGGCCATGCTATGTTGGATGCTGGTCGGTGAACGGTGACGGTTCCCCCCTCCTACAGCCTGCGCCGTACGGATGCAAATTGCTCTTCACGGGCGTCTTGCAGTTGTTCCACGTGTTGTCGTCCGGCTGGGCCTCGGCTTGGCTTTGGACTTCCCCGCTGCCTGGATGCCTGCTTCTACGGTTATGTTTACATCTTGCGGTTTGACTTTTGGTTACTCGGTTCTGAGGCCGCGGGCTTGGAAGGAGTAGGGAATTTTGACGTATGAGGATGGGAGGTTTGGTGCGTGATGGGAGTGACGGGGGAACAGCGTGCTTGTTCGGGACAGTGAAACCGTCTGTGCCGACGACTGTGGTCCGGCTGACTCCACTGTCGGCGTGTCGGCTCCGGTGGGATGGTGACCAGATTCCGTTGTGCCGGTTTACGGATGGTGTCGGCCGCTGGAGGAGTCTCGGGGGTTAGGGGTCGGCAGGGTTCGGGTTTTCGACGTCACCTGTTGCGTGGTTTGTGCACGATGTGCTTTTGCCCTTTGACGTGAAGGTCTCGGATGGCATGTAGCTTGTTTGGCCTGCGACAAGTCCAAAGTTTCTGCCTTGAGGATCGACTGGAAGTCGTGATGGAGCAGTAGGGGGATCCGGCACCTCAATTCGTTAATTTTCCTAAAACACTGGCAAGATGCCCTGATTGGGTACTCGACGAAGACTCTGTCTTGCACATAAAGCATGGCTAATTGCTCCCTGGAAGACGTACGACTGGCTAGTCCGGGGACAGGCGTAGCCAGACGTATGTATACTCGAGACGAAAGGAAAGGAGAAGCCAGCCAGTTAGTTGTACGGGAAATTTTGGTACGGCTAATGGTTCTCTACACCGTCTTGGCAGATCGCCCTAGGGCCCGTGTAAGATGGATCAGCTTTGGTGACGCCGTTCACAGCGGGAACTATTCGCCTTATGGGAGACTTACCACCGGGGGTTCCGAAGCTTCTCGAGCACACAAATTCTACAAGATAATGTAAATGCGAAAGTGGAAGAACTTTTGAGGGGATAATCGTGGTCCGGAAGAGGGTGATTCTTCTACCTGGCGCAGAGGCAAGCTACTGAGGAGGTTGAGCCGCAATGTTGCCTGGTTACTTTGACTTAACTACATTATACTTTGTCGATAGTCCCAAGAAAGTAATAGCCAAAGGAATGAGACGATTCACAGTTTTGAAAGATCAATTGGTGTCCCAAACTCACCTTGGCCAATTGGCCGTTTAGCTGTACGAATTTGAGGGAAAACCAACCAGTACATGAGGAGAGCTCTTGGCAAGGACGCAATGGAATGATATTGCCATGGTTGTAGATTTATATGAATACGGCGGGCAATTTAATTGGGCTCAACTCAAAACCCAACTTAAAGGCGTAGGCATCGTTACGGGAAGCTGCTCCTTTTGCGTACCAATCTTACCTAGACCAACCACACGACGGTCGAGAAGATCATGTATAAATTGGGCCATATTTGTAGTACTCCGTACACGAACTACCCTACTCTAGCTCCATCTACCAACTCATTCTTCGCCTCAAGATTACTCAATTCTCTCACCTTGACTCTGCCCCTCGTAACCACACAAAGCAAACTGATTTACAACTCAACTGCACACCTCATCGCCCGCCATGCACTTCCCAGCCTTCACTGTCCCCCCCCCCCCCTCCTCTCTTCCGCCGCAGCGGCAGCCCTAGACACCGCAGAGGTCCGGCAAGCCCGTTCTCTCGACAATCTTCGCCAAACAATGCCGGCGGTGGTCTATTGCCGAGAAGAGTCGAGTGTGACTGCTGTCGAGCGCTGGGGCCGGGGTATTGCTGGTATGAGAAGGCGAATGGGGATAAATATGTGAGTTTTCGTGGTTCTTTTACGATTATACCAATTTTTTTTTTGCTGGTGATGAATATCGCTGATTATTGGGGGTTGGTAGTGCTCTGCTTGTATTGTTGATGTTTGTCAGAAGAGGTGTATGTGAGAGGTTCTGTGAATGATGCGGGTCTATGAAGGCAGAGGGCGTGTCGTGAGGATGGCGTTGGGGACATTGAAATATCGAACCAGTAGCCATGACGACATCTACTAAAGAATCGAAAAAGGAAAAGGAAAAAAAGAGTTCGCCCCACCCGGTGCTGAAATGGGGGCTACATCTCTTGGTGCTCATGCTGGGGTTCGAACTCGGAACTCGTGAGCCCGTCGTCGAGTAGGCTGTGGACGTAATTTGATTATTGACCGTAAACTACTCCACTACCTAGCCAGTTTGACCCGACCCGTCGACCTAGACGGGCGCCTGCTGGCTAGTGACGTGAATGGTCTTGAGGGGGGGTATATAGGCTTCATCTCGGGCGTATTCTGTGTATTCGGGTGGTGGATAAGGTATCGGATGAAGGTTTGGTTAGGTAGGCACGGTCGGCACTATCAGAGTCTTTCCGCCTGAGCAGAGCATATTGAGAAGAATGATACTCCAGGAAGCGGACCGAGTGTCATCACGGCGTTGGTACAATAAGAGCATGCTAGTACGATCTAGTCATTGATACATGTCTACTCTTATACAATTCTAGTCTCGTGCGGTGCGGACTTTCTTACATCTATAATACAATGTCTAGCACACATTCCTCACGCATGGTCATCCTTGATGCCCCAGCTACCCACTAAAGCCATGGCCTTGTCGTCACCCTTGGCAAGACGGTCGTCCTGGAGGGTATCCGCCAGACACTGCCACGGGTCCCGGCTGCCTCCCCACTTCAAGAGGTTCTCCTTGAGCCGCTCGCCGTTCTCCCGGCTGAGCGCCTTGCCGTCGGCGCCGGCGGAGAAAACCACGCGCCAGACCCGCTCGGCGAGAACGCGGTCAAAGACGTAACTGTAGTAGGTGCTGCCGTACCCGTGCAGGTGGCCAAAGAAGCCCTGCCAGCAGGTGCCGGCGGGATCGGCGCCGCCCTGGGAGAACTGCTTCTGCAGGCCGTGGTAGACTTGTGTGGAGTTGAAGGACGGGTCGGCGACCTCGGGGGCGTGGTAGGACTGGTCGAGCAGGGAGAGGAGGATCTGGTTTTCCGTGTCGATGCCCTCGAAGCGCTTCGCTAGGCGGATCCGCTCGGCGACCATTTGATACGGTAGGGGCTCGTCCGTCTTCCAGTGGCGCGCGAAGAGGCCCAGTACGGATGGGTCTGCGGCGAAGTGCTCCATCAGTGTGGACGGGAGCTCGGCGAAGTCGGTGGCACATCTCGTGCCGGATACGTTCTGGAGCTTGGTGCGAGCGAGGATGGAGTGGATGGCGTGGCCCATTTCGTGGAACAAGGTCTCGACCTGGTAGTATGACAGGAGCGCCGGGGCGGAGCTGCTCGCATCGTGCTTGGGGAAATCGCAGACCAAGGCGATTGTTGGCAGCTGCATCAGGACGCCGTCCTGTTGCAAGCTCTCCATGCCGTCGTTCGCGGCTTGCTCGGGTCTCTCAAACTTGGGCATGTCGGATGTGGCGTTGTGGAGGTCCTCCGCAGCCTCCTGGACCTCATACGGAGCGATGGCTCGAGAACAGCGCACTGTGAAGTGAGCAGGGTTGGGTGACTTGTCCTCTCTGTAGAATAAGTCGCAGTACAGGACGGCAATCAGATCGCCCGTGTCCGTCACGACATCCAACCGCCGCACATCCTCATGCCAAGTCTCGCCGGGCTGTGACTCCTTCGGCCTGAACTGGATGCCGTAGAGACGAGTGAACAGTCTCGACATGCCCTGCATGACGGTACCGATGGAGAAGAAAGAGGGGAGATGATCGGGATGACGGACTGGTAGCCTCATCTCGGACCGCACGCCGTCCATTAGGAAATCCTTGTCCCACGGTTGGACTTGGGTAGCGGTGCTGTCTAGTCGGGTCTGCTTCAACTTCAGGAGGTCCGACATTTCCTCCCGAACAATAGGGGTATTGTACTTTTGCAACGCGTGAAGGAACTGCATCACGGCGCCGGGAGACTTTGCCATCATTCTGTCTTTCAGGGAAAGGTGAGCGTAGCTCGAGAACCCCGCCAGATTCGCCAGCTCAGAGCGGAGCTTGAGCATCGTCTCGAGCAGACCGACTGTCTGCTTCGACGCGGTGCGCATGGCGGTATACACCTCCTTCCGCGTCCCCTCGTCCTTGACGCTCCGGAGCGCGGCCTGAGCTTCAGGGCCGGTGGTGGGCAGGCGCAACTTGCCCCTCATCGTGAGCGCTCGCGCGATCCCGGGGTATAAGCCGTAAAAGCTCGATGAAGGAAGCACAACTTCACGCTTCGCAGGCTGCATGTCTGAGACGAACATGGATCCGACCTCACTTATCTGCTGCGAGAGGTCGACGAAGCGGTCCCGCTCCTGCTGCGGCAAGTCGACGGCCGACTTGGTGAAGTCCAGCTTGAGAATCTCTGCGACTGTCCTCTCTTCCTCTGACCATGCCGCGACCACTTCTGGCTGCTCCATCGCCTTGACTAATTGGTCACTCAGTCCGGTCATGGTGTTCAACTGGTTCATATACTGATAGACCAGCGACCAAGCTCCGGCTGCTGCTTGTTGGAATCTGGGGTCTGGATGTGTCATTCTGACAAAGTCGGAGAGATCGAGGACTCGGCAGAGAAGGTCGCTAAGGCGGTCAAGGTCCTTGACAACGGCCTGGTATTCGGACACGCTCGACGCATGAAGGACTCGATGGACAATCTTCTGCGCCTTGTCCAAGCTCTTGCGGGCAAATACGTAGAAGCCATTCGGGCTGGTGAGATATCGGTTCTTGAAGAGGCCTACACTGGGGCCGGCCGCCTTGAAGGCCTTGGACACTCGGTCGGGGGAGTCGAAAAGCTCGCGTAGGATCGCATCGTCGGTGTTCCTTCCCGGAAGTGAGTGGTCGGCCGTGATGCTCGAGGGAGCGGTGCCGGACACTGCGGCTATCCACCGGCGCTGCTGGCCTCGGGAAGCTTGCCGAACGCATTGGGTGCAGACCCAGAGGCCGCGGCTTGAAGATTTGATCATTATGAAAATTTGTCGACGGTGCGACCAAAACTACAAGTCGGGACGAAAATTCTAGTAAAACATGTAACAAGAAAAAAGGAGGGTGGTTGTAAGTGCGACCAAGGGCCGCGACCATGGGAAATGCGTAGAGAGAATTAATGGGACTGAGATACGGAGTAAAGCAGTTACCAATCGATAGGCCGTAGCCGGGATGGCATCCGGACTGATGGCGGTAGTATTTTTTTGTGCAAGGGTGTGCAGTGCTGCCAGTCATTGCCAGGCCAGTGCATAATCGAATTCCCGAGCTCCGGAAATAGCCGCACCAGCGTCCAGTGGGCCTGGCGTTAGGTGCTTGCAAGCACAAGCATCATTCCGTGACATCCAAATAATTCTCGCGAGACCAAGACCCAATTCCCTCAATCGACCAATTGAGCGGACCATGGCTGCTAGAGTGTTGCTACAACGGGTAATTCTCTCTTGCCAATCCACTACCAATCGAAGCAACAACTAATATGAGATCCATAGCGCGCCGCGCCGTTAGCAGCGACGGTTATGCTGGGAGGATTCGCCCTGGCACCCCGAACTGCCTACGCTGAAGCTCCCGAGAGCAGCTACGTACGTCCGCAGTCGACTCGCGGCACCGAGAATGTAGCGTAGCTGATGATTCTGCAGTCCAAGAAGCCCATCTACGACGACCTGGAGCTCCCCGCGACGAGCGGCACTCTCCCTCCTCCGATCCCCCGGGCCGAGCAGCCTCCCCAGGCCGAAGAACCCAAGTCGCGAGGACCTACCCCTACCGACCGTCTCGCCGTCCAGATCGGCAAGGCGCGCCTCGCCCTGTACCAGTACGCTGTCGGTGCCGAGGACGCCGTCAACCGGACGATGGACAAGGCCTTCAACCTCGAGCAGTCCTTCACGGGCACGATCGCATCCCTCGCCCCGCCCCGCGAGAGCGGCGAGAAGCTGATGCCCGGCGCCATATACGTCCTCGTCGCCGCCATGGCCGGAAGCATCGTCACCCGCAACCGTAGCATTGTCCTGCGCGCCACGGCGCCCCTGGCCTTCGGTATCACCGCCGGCTGGACCGTCCTGCCCATCACCATGGGCAACGTCTCCAACCTCACCTGGAAGTACGAGCAGCGGTTCCCCGTTATTGCGCAGGGCCACCTCAAGCTTCGCGAGAGCATCGAGAACAGCTTGAGGATGGCGAGGCTCCACAGTGAGATTGGTGTAAGATATGTTGACGAGAAGGTCACGGATGCCCGGGAAACCGTCGAGGACTGGGTGAAGAAGGGCAAATAAAGGAAGCGCGGAACTGTAAAATAGAAGCGACCAGAGTCGCTACCATCGGTTCCTTTTGTAATTGACACATTTCATCAGCTTGACGCATGTCTTATGAGCCAAACAAATCATGGTGAATGAGCATTCGTTTTTATGTGTATAAAAGTCGTATTTGGGTTCTATATCCCTCAATCCCATTATTCTGTCCTATCCCTAAAGGACCCAGGGTGTCGCTATGCTTTTTTTTTAACAAGTGTACCCAAACTCCTATCTATGCAAATCAACCCGCTTTGGAAGCCCTGTGTGTTGTGTCTCAAGTTTGCAAGGCAGCAGGAGACGGTTGCGTTGGCTGTGTTTCCTTGGGCGCGCCGACACCCCTTTGAGATTTGTTTCGAAGAGCCTGCGTAGCCCTGCTCTCGCCCATCTTGCCACCAGCCGCCATGGCGGTTGGATTGGGCTTCTTTCCGCCCTTCCCAGGCCCCTTTTCCGGGTCGACGCCCTTGTTGAGGTCAGTCTGCTGGGCAAGCTCAATAAGATCCTCGAGCCCGAGCGCGCGGCAGATCTGAGTGTAGCTCTTGCACTGATTCATCTTCTGGTATGTCGCGCTCTTGCCGGGGACAATCTGACAAAGCAGGTACTTTGTGTTGCCGTACTTGTTGTCGACCTCGAGCGCGTACTTGACGTACGTAGCCGCAACCTCCTCCCAGGACGCAATACCTCCGTCTGCTTCTGTCCTGAAGCAGCTCGAGTTCGCCTCAGCCGCAGTGGCAATCATCGCGCCGTCGACTCCAAACTCCTTGATCAGGTCGATCGCTTGGTCTCGGCTCTCGACGTCGCCGTTCATGATGCAGGCGACGCCCGCTTCATGGCATACTTCCGCGACCATGCGAAGCTGCTCACGGATGGCACGCTCTCTGGGACGCATCGGCGTTGTCCGGCAGTGAATAGTGAGGCCAGTTACACCAGTGGCGCAAAGCTTGCGCACTAGGGCCTCGGTCTGTTCAGGTGTGTCCAGGAGGCGGATCTTGACGCTGATGCCAATCTCGAATTCTGGCATAATGTTCGCCACCAGAGCCTCCAGGATCGCGCACAGCTTTTCCGGAGTCTTCAAAAGAGCCGCGCCCATCCCGCCGCTGAGGCTGAACGGCTTTGGGCAACCTGCGTTCACGTCGATGCCGGCGACATCACCTGCCACGAGCCTAGCCGCCTGCACTGCCAAGTCCGGGTCTGCCGTTCCGATCTGGAAGATGAGCTTCCCCGCCTCCTTCTCTGGATGTGTGCTGAAAATCATCGCCTCGGGCATGTGCTTTGGAGGGTTCTTGTGACCGAACGAGGGGATCTTGGTCCAGTCGATAGTGTTTGTAACGGGGTTCACTCTGCGCGTCGTGCCGATCATGGCTTTGTCGACGGTCTCGGGGCCTGTTGGACTTGTCAGTAAGAATCCTTCAGCGCTCCATGATTTTGCGACTTACCCCAGACCAGGTCTGCGCCATAGTGCAAGGCCAGGAGGCGAGAGGGAAGTTCGCCAGAGCGGACCATCGGCGCAAGAACGAGCTTGCCCCTATAGTCCACACCCCGACGGGGGATCGGGACTTTCTTGATTTCTGAACCCATTGTCTTGAGCAGCGTGCGAAGGGACATGGCCAGAGGGAAAAGTCAAGCTACATGGCCTTTGACAAAAGAAATGGGAATGGTCGGCGCAATCCGATGGTTGACTCCTTCGGCGATGCCCTGACGGGCTAGAGTGCATAACGGAGAAAAGTGTCGCGGCTACTTATCGATAAGCCTCTATCGGGGATGTGGCTTGAGCAAATACCGGTAGCAGTCACACCGAGGAACCTACAAACTTCAAAGTATCAGATGCCACGATTTTTTTTCCTATGGAGAACCTGTCATCAGATGTTTACTTTCTGACCCGGTCAAGAATCGCTGGGTGTTTTGAGTGCTTCGTTTGCGTTGCTTGAGCACTTCGCTGGTTGCTGGCTGTTAATTTGACTCTTTAACTTGGGCGTCGTTTATTGGCCGAATTGTGCCGTTTGGGCACTGCTTTTTTTTTTTTTTTTTTTTTTTCGCGTCAATGGTCACGAACAACTTGAGACCCTTCAATCCCGCGAATCACTTTGATGACGCGATAGTTGAATACTGAATGAGTGAGGTCATTTGCTTCGAAGTTTCTGAATAGTAGTTCAGAAGTGTTCTATCAAATTGTTCAATAATAATTTGTTGTTGGTCTTTTCGACTATCTCACTCCGAGGCGGCGAACTTCCCACTCAAGCACGGCCAAATTTACACATTTAAGCTGAAAATGTTGTAAGATGTCTCCGAGAAAGAACTTCAACGAGTGTCAACTATCCGTACATTGGGACCGGTTGCGACGCTGGTACGGAGACACTTGAATCAGCACGAGGATGAATAGCGCCTACAGAAGACATATCCTGGGAAGTTGACATCACAACCAACCCAAAAAGTCACTCTTTGGAAACCTTGACCATGTCATGTACCTGACGCATTCATGCCATCTTCCTGGGTTGAGACTTGAGAGACATCTGATAGACCTTGACACTATGGAGGGGTAACTGAGGGGCAAAGTTGCAGGGGTGCATCGGCAAGCTCCAGCCACGGTGAGGCTAGTGAAGAAATTTCTGAAGGTAGCGCTGTCGGCAGGTTGCTGTCGCGACAAAAACAGACTCAACGATTCTCCCGGTTTCTTCCTTGCCCCGTCTTAGCTAGCAGCAATTGTCTATACCTTGCCTCTGCTGCCCCGATAGCCGCGAGTACCCCAAACATCGGAGTTCAGAAAGACCCATCCATCCTGTTCGAATAGCTGCAATCCAGCCACGGCTACAACTCCTTAGCGTCTTGCGCAACACTCACCCTCTTTTTGCCATTGAACCTCGGATGAGTCCGAAATAGTCTTACCGCAATTGCTGAAGAGTCCTCTGTTGTGTGATATAACTCTAAACGCCACACGCCGAATTCCCCTTTGATCCCCCTTTTCTTCTACTCTCCTTTAACCGATTTCCCTCCGGCCCGGCCCCAAGGTCACTTTTGCATACTATACACATGCCGCTGCTACGAGGCATTAAGCTGCAGCTCCCGTTCCTCCGCAAGACAACTGTCAGCTCATTCACCCCGGTATCCGTACTGCCTCTGCCTCTACGTCTGCCTTCCGCCGCCTGTACTGCTACTGCTACTGGCCGCCGCGCACTCAGTTTTCGCGTGCCTTCCGCCCGACCCAGCCCCGTTTCCACACTCACTCGTCGTCCCCCGATTCAGGCCCCGTCCCGGGCCAATCACTCTGCAACCCTGGCGGCACACACCAAGCTAACGTCCGGGTCTCCTACCCCTCCCCCTCCATCCCTCCTTGCATCATCCGCCAACGGCACCCCTCCTCGCCCGTCACAAACTGCTGGTGCCCCCGATATTAAATCCAAAATTCCCTCCCAACGCACCGCGCAGATTGCCCGTCACTTCTCTACCATCTCAAAGGACTCTGACCCAAGTTTCCATCATCAATCGCCCGCAATGGCTTCCCCTTACTCCCTCCGCAAGGTTGGTGCTGCCAACACTCTCGAGCACCGTGTCTACATCGAGAAGGATGGCGTCCCCGTCTCCCCCTTCCACGACATTCCTCTGTACGCCAACCAGGAGCAGACCATCCTGAACATGGTTGTTGAGATCCCCCGCTGGACCAACGCGAAGCTCGAGGTAAGCATTCGTGTCCTCCCTTCTGCTGTGCTGTGATCATAATTGTTGTTCTGGCATGAACATGAACGAGCATGAACAAAACGGACATGTGGCGCTGACCGACAATTCAACCCGCAGATCTCCAAGGAGGAGCTCCTCAACCCCATCAAGCAGGACATCAAGAAGGGCAAGCTTCGCTACGTCCGCAACTGCTTCCCCCACAAGGGTTACCTCTGGAACTACGGTGCCTTCCCCCAGGTACGAAAACAAATCCTTCCCGAAGAGAGATTAGCATACTGGTCAAGAAAACAACATCTAACTAACGCTTTGCTCCAGACCTGGGAGGACCCCAACGCCATCCACCCCGAGACCAAGGCTAAGGGTGACAACGACCCGCTCGATGTCTGCGAGATTGGTGAGCTTGTCGGCTACACCGGCCAGGTCAAGCAGGTCAAGGTCCTCGGTGTCATGGCCCTGCTCGACGAGGAGGAGACCGACTGGAAGGTCATCGTTATCGACGTGAACGACCCGCTCGCTCCCAAGCTCAACGACGTCGAGGACGTCGAGCGCCACCTGCCCGGCCTTCTCCGTGCCACCAACGAGTGGTTCCGCATCTACAAGATCCCCGACGGAAAGCCCGAGAACCAGTTCGCCTTCACCGGCGAGTGCAAGAACAAGAGGTTGGTGATCTCACTCAGCCCGTGAGAGTATTTGTCCCATTCGAGCTAACAAAATGCTCCAGCTACGCCATGGACGTCGTCCGCGAGTGCGCCGAGGCTTGGGAGAGACTCATCACCGGCAAGACCCAGGCAGGCAGCGTCTCCACGTAAGTTTCTCATCACGCAATACCTTGGCGCAGCAAGCCACCCTTTTCCTTGAACACTTTTTTTGCTAACAATCATTGTCTCTTAGCGGCAACACCACCGTCCAGCAGTCCCCCGCTCTCATCAGCGCCGGCCAGCTTCCCCCTCTGCCCGCTCACGAGGAGCTCCCCGCCGGAAAGATCGACGCCTCCATCGACAAGTGGTTCTTCATCAGCGGTGCCTCCGCATAAGGGATTCCTCCTCTTGCGTGTGTTTCTTGAATTGGTAATACCGGCGGATTGCTTTAGCCAAACGACAGCTCAGACTATACTTTTGTGTCGCTTTGTGAGTAGATGTAGTCGAAAACGGAGTCGAAGCTCGAGGGGCCCGAAAGGCGTCAACTAGAATACCAAAAAAGTTAAAGTACCGTAAATCATTGTGCCATTGGAGTCGGTGATTATGAGCGAAGTTCGTAAGCTTCTCGTGATGTCCATGTTTTCGATTGTAGGAGTTGATTTTGTTCTCAAAATT